CTCCCTCCCTCTCTCTTTCCCTCCCTCTCTCTTTCCCTCCCTCTCTTCCCCTTCTCTCTCTCCCTCACCCTTCTCTGTCTCTCTCTTTCTCCCTTCCTTTCACTTTGTCCCTCCCTTCTCCCTCCCTCTTTCCATCTCTCCCTTCCACCCCTTCTCTCGGTCTCTCCCTCTCCCCCTCTGTCTCCCTCACCCTTCTCTGTCTCTCCCTGCCTCTCTCTTCTCCCTCTCTCCCCTTCTCTTTGTCTGTCCCTCCCTTCTCCTCCCTCTCTCTCTCCCCTCTCTTCCCCCTTCTCTCTCTCTCCCTCACCCTTCTCTGTCTCTCCCCCTGTGTCTCTCTTTCTCCCTCTCTCCCCTTCTCTTTGTCTGTCCCTCCCTTCTCCCCTTCTCTCCCCCTCTCTCTCTTTCCCTCCCTCTCCCCCAAAACCCCTCATTCTCTTTTTCTCTCCCTCACCTTTCTCTATGTCTCTCCCACCCTTCTCTCTCTCGCTTTCTCACTCTCTTTCTCTCATACAATACATTGGAAAGCGATGAGATGAAAACGATGAGAACCTGCAGAAAGCATCATGCCTTAGGGTACAGAACGGATGACCCTCCGCGATAATTAGTTCCACTCAAAATTGACCATCTCTTGCAGCTGTCTGGCGATAAAAGTGTCGTTTCTTTATCTCGGTGTTGATTGGATATTGTCTACCTAGGCATTCCCTCTGCACGTGTGGCAAAGTGATTCAATGGCCACTCAAGAGAAATAAAGCGGTGTCGATTTCACCTAATAAATATGCACACTGCCTATCTTTGTTCACGGTGAAGAACTGATTAATCAATTACCACACAAACATGCATGTTTTTATTTCCTACACACGCGTCAACGATGTAATGTGTTTGTATTATGCAATTCAATTTCTTGAATTAATGTTGATTAACATAGTCAGCACATCAATATAAAAGGCATTAATAGACATAGCTAAATTTTCAGTAAAGTGCTTATCAAATCGAAAACGTTCAGCTGTTGCATAGTTTCACAAACCTTGAATGTATTAGTTCTTAACAGAATACGTCGTTTCAAATCCGTCCATACATCCATCCTTCCATCAGCCCGTCCGTCCATCCATCCGTTCAAGTATATCTTCTTCTGACCAGGCGTGTTATAAAGGTGACAATAATCAGCATTCATTCATTCATTTCCTTATAGCATTGTATGATACTTCATATATTTTATAATTTCTTACCTTAAAAAGAAAACATGCTGCTGTAGTTTCTACATCAGTCTGTTTCAGAGCTTTTGGGAGCTGCATTATCGAAGCTTTATAATATCATTGTAAGTAGCTTGTGTTTCAGCTAGACATTAAGAATATTCTGTTGGTGTGTGTAGCCTTTGTTAACCATGTACGTAGTTACTCTCATCTCCTCAGTGTGAGAGCAGTTTTGTTTTTAAGTAGTATTTACTATTAGATTACCATCAATGTACACAATTACAAAGTGGCGTATATATGAATCAAAATATATTCATAATCAACTCAGAATATATAGTTTTATTTGAATTGTTTACAGTCGGTTCTTATATGAAAGTAGCATTACTCAACTACCATTCTGCATGCTACGTCCCAACATGCCAACACAATGGTTATATAAAGACAAACATTATGGGCTTGATATATAATACTCCCCAGACAACCACGCCACGCTTGATGACATAACTAGAGCCTGTACAACACAAACAGCGACTACAATGCATTTCATCGTGATAAAATGTCACTGTGTTATTCCGAAAATTATCGTAGCAATTTCCCCAGATGCTTCAAAGCAGGCGTCTGTTCTCAAAGACCTATTCCTCCTACCGCGAACTACATCTTAGATAAATGTCTTAATTTATCAATGGGACATAAAGATCTTATGTACGTTTCTTAGGTTCAGTAAGTTTTGCAAATTCTGCTTTCCAGCTTATTATCACAACAATCAGATGCTACAAGTCTTTGTTTGGTACTGGATTCGAGTAACAACGCAAAATCTCGGTATCGCGAGAATCTCGTTCTCAATCAAACCGTGACGGAACTATTTCCTTTGTTTTCTTTTCATTTGGCTTTTAATTGACGTCGACATCTCGTGTTTATGTATGCTGCAAAAAGTCCCGTCACGACCTTGCCCTTGCGCTACAATTTGCTTCTGTCGCCGATAGTATTTACCGAAAGACAGTTTCTTATTTATGAGAATAGTTCATGAAACTAATTTTCATTGCCACCCAGTTTTACATTGCGTTGAATCGGAATAAATCAATGTGGGTTCTGAAATTTAACTTCACTGTCAATTGCAAGCCACGATTTATGTGCTTTTTATTCAGAAACACATAGGAAATGTTGTAAATCCTTTATCTATTCTCAATCAGATTGTGTATATTTCAAATTTTGACACATTCATCTGTGTTTTCAAGTTTTATTATGTGAACTATTGTTAACAAATATGTTAATTCCCACGACATAACGTAAAGTTAATGCTCGTCTTACAAGTTGACAAAGGGTAAAAAACAAATGTAGTGTTTTAGTGTTTTAGAGGGGATATGGTTTAGTTACATCAGCTACGGTATAATACTATTAAGTTATAATTTGAAACCCTGCTTTTCTTGTGAGAAAAAACAACAACTTCAAAGAGTATGTATGTAATTGCTGTAAACAGTCGTGTGTCTCATTTTTTTCAACAAAGCAATCTTGCATGAGGCAACATGATCTTATCTTCGTGGGCCTTCCAGAATACATGAAACACGAGTTATCCTTCACGGCTTCCGCATGTGTTCTTCGCATTAAAATCTATCCTGGTGCTCTCACTATCAACCATTTGTCTAGCTCAGCTTAACGACCTCACCTCTCCCATATTAGGAAAACGTGACTATAGGTCGGAGTCCACAATGTGTGAATTGGCTTGTGGATTTTGTCATCGTGATGAGTGATTGTTTAAAAGATGTTGAGAGGAGATAGCTGAAGTCACAGTTATATAGCTGAACTATTTCTCATTGCGGCTTTAAATATAATTAGAAACGGCAAAACCCTTTCCACATCCATAAAAAATCTCTGCTAAAAGCAGAGTCGATTGTACAGTTTTCACAATATCATGAGTCTATTGGTTTCAGCAGTATTACAGCTATACGATGCTGTAAACAAATCGGGTCTGGACCAGACAATCCAGTGATTGTCACCATGCGCCAAGTTGAATCCTCTTGACATGTTGTCCTTTGTACGTATGTATGTATGCTGTAGAATTGTCAGTTAACACAACTTTTAGGACGCCCTCTTACTATATGACAATGATTGTAATAACCTTTAATTTGTTACAGACTTGACCCATAGTTGGGAATACAAAATGCTGGATTTATTTCCTCAATAGTAAAGTCGACAGCACACATTTTGCATGTTATACGTTGTTTAACGTTGTTATCATGACCATAAACACTGACCTTTATGAAACATGAACGAGTGAGTGAGTTTAGTTTTACGCCGCATTTAACAATAACCCAGCAACAGCGAGGAAAGGGGCTTCACACCATGTGGGGAATCGAACCTGGGTCTTCGGCATGATGAGCAAATGCTTTAAACACTAGGACACCCCACCGCCCTTTGTGAAAAAACAGGGATATCGGCATTCGTATCAATATTGCATTGTTCGAGAAACCCTTCATTTTATCGACTGCGACTGTATTCCAACTTTAAAGTACTTTGGTGTCAAAGGGTACATAAAATGCTGTTTCACGAAATGCCACAGGCAAATTGCAACGTCTTCAGAAAGAAGAGGCAAGAACCAAATAGGAAGCGCGCCGTTCCTCTTCAAAGGTTCTGAAATTACTTCTTCTTTCTGTGGCGGGTAAATATATTTGGTAACATGTTTTAGTATAACTAAGCTGATCTTTTTCAGATAGCTATTTTTAAATCAAAATGTCGACCTGTCCAAAATGAAAGAAAATGTGCAATCTATTGTTCAAAGTAACTTTGTAACTATCAAAATGTTGCCCAGTAAAGAGCACAAAGAAAAACTACAAACTTTGTTAACAGCTTTCCATAAAAGCATAGTGGATAATAGTATATGGTATTAGAAAATATTCTAACTCAATATCGATAAAAAAAACCTGTTCATCTGTCTTTTAGATAACATAAACATTTCTATACGTCAGTGTACGTCAAGATCGTGTGACGTTACAGTTGGAACCTTTCAACGCTACTACACTACCATTTCATTTATAGTAAGCAATAAGTGTAAAAGAGAAACTGTCTGAAACTACTGAGTGATACATAACGTCGTTATGTATCCCATACATTGTTGACATTTTGTTTTGCAGCTGATGATGGCCAACGACATCACTTAAAATATGTCTTTAATTATATAACGTCAACGCAAGAGAATAGTCAGTCTCGAATATCCATTGAAACAGATTCTATTAGGCACGAAAGGCAAAACTGTGGTAAAAATATGAATGGAACACTGAACATCAGTGATGGCGTCGGTGTTTGTATGGCCATGTTGGGCAACACCAGTAGCACCAACCACTGACACAATTTGGATAAAAGCATCGAGTTCCAGTTTTAAAAATAATGCCACCAAGTGGCGCACTGAAGTCGCAGACAAACAAGGCCATGTTCTGGCATTGGTTCTACAACTAATCTGACGTTCTTGGAGGTTCTGGTGTTTATGGAGCAACGATTCATGATAAGGTCAGCATGTATACTACTCATGAAAAGTTAAGGAAACCCAATATTTCATATTTCATTGCATGACACATTACCGACATGGCAGATGAACTATAGTAATATGAAAGGATTATAGATTTCCTTAAATTTCTGAGTAGTATACTTACGTAGTTTACAACAATGAAAAATATATATCATTTGTTCAGGCCAGCGTTATATCTGAATATGTGTGTTTTCCAGTTACACAACCGTATCCATGTCTAAACATGGTAATTAAAGACAATACAAACGTGTTATAAAACATGATATTTATTTCATGATGATGATGATTCATATATACAATATTTTCATACATGACGTCATATGACGTTGATGACGTGGGTGTGACGTCACTGGCACGATGTCATGATATATGTTTATTATCACAGGTATGTTTGGCGTGATCGATGGCAGTGAAGACGAATAGAATGCAATAATTAAATATAATAAATGGAAGAGAATGATGAGAGCGTTTGGCAAATGAGACTCGATGTAACTCTTGAGACGATTATAGTGTGGAAAGGACGAGCTCAGGTAATAAGCTAAACTGAACTCAAATTGTTGGAAATATAAATGAAATTATTCTACCTGGCCAGTTTATTTTGAAATGATTTGAGAAACGAATGCCATGCATTACATGGCGAATAATTTGGATGAATATAGTCTTGAGAATGACAACACTTAAATAGTTCGTCAAGAATATATTTAAACATGCGTGTCACCATGTTTTAGAACCGTAATAAGAGTAACGGTGTATTACACGAAAACTGTTGCCACATCCTTACTGGTAGAAATGTATAAAAGTAATATTCATATTGCTCATTCGTTTGGAAATGGTCCAAAGAGGAATATTAGGATGTTGAGTATTGTATTAAAATATGAATATAGTTCAAGTGCGTCTATTCAGTCAATACAGTAAAGGAAATTAAATTAACTGAAAGCTTATCTTTACTGCCTATGAACACATTTGGGGTATAAAATGCGTAAACAACGCGGTAACAGTTAAATATAAAACCAGGTTACTCTCAAGTAAACTATTATTCGGATTATTGAATAAAATGAAAATAGTGACTATTCATGAGAAAAAAGACAGTAATTGTTTCTCAGGGCATAAATGCAGAACTCACAATAACTGACAGCAATCTGCCAGATCTCTGAATAATAGTGTGGTCACGTGATAAGAAGACACAGGAATCCTCTTTGGTTTTATGTGGCTGATACAGGAATATGAATATGAAACAACTGTCCATAAAAGTGATATTTATGATTATTAATTGCAAATATTTTCACGACATTAGAACAGTTTTCGGCCCATCAGCAGAACCATTTCTTCGAATGTGAAGGTATGTAATTGTTCATTTTTGCAACAAACATCGGAAATCGCACTCTCTGATCCTCATTCCGTGTTCCGTGTCTCGATGCAACTTTTTGCTTTTCCCTTCTTTGTCCGGACCAAGCTTTTCAAGAAAACACCAGTAGTTTTCTTAGCTACGGGGTGACTAAGACTCTCTGAAATATTTCAAATTATTTTCCTGAGCCTCTTGATCCTTCGACCAATATAGCTGACGCTTTTCTCTCGACTCGGAAGGACAAGCCGCCATCTTGAATCGTGGGCCAACGATTGCAGGCTATACGCTGAAGGTAATTGGACCGATTTGCCAATCCTTTTCAGCTTAGCTTCGCAAATATCACCTGTGCGGGGTTCCCCAATGCAACATGGCTCAAATCACATATTCTGAAGTCCAGCTAGGGCTGTTTTAAAACCAGTATAAGTCTTTGCCCGCCTCTTGTATGGAACTTTCCAGGCCTGTAAGACAAATAGCGTTGGTTATAGTTATTGTCATGACGATAAATTCTCGAACTAACAGTATCTCTTCGCATGGGTCAAATTTCCCAGTCTAAATTAGAAAGCTGTGTTTCTCTTTCTAAGCGTTACAGAGATATATGGTACTTGGAAAGAGCTTCATCGTTCATCACTGGTTTCTGTGTCAAAGTAACCTCTAGGCCCTCCTGCAAAAACACCCTAGTACAACACCCAGACTTAATGAATGATATCCCCGTTGAGAGTGGTGTTGTTATAACTAACACTGGTGTAATGAGTGATACTGGTGTCTTTTTGCTGCAACAAAGCGTTCACTGCGGAGCACAGCTGAAACACTTCGCTAAGAGGATACTATAACTTTGGCTTCTATCCTATCTGTAGTTTCTGGCAACATAACGCTGTCTTAACACTTTTGCGCAAGTGAAATTATGACTAAAAATGTATTTTTTCTCAATGTCTAATTTCTGGGTCATCTGGAACTTTATTCACCGAATGTCCTGACCTATTTAATTATTTTAATTTACTTTGTATTAGTATAGTTTGAAATTATTTATCATAAAAAGCTTAAAAGCAACCCAAGTCTGACTGGATGGAACATGGAACCAACGTATTTTTATCTAACATTATCTATCAATTGTTCTGTCTTTTAATAATATACATGTTGTCAGTAGCGATTCTTATTTAAATTATATTATATATTTGTAAAATTTCTTCCTTTTTGGCACAAAAATACTTTTAGTGAATATAAAATAGGCAACATAAGCAAATGGCATAACTCCAGTAGTATTATGTGTGAAAACCTTGAAATTTGGTAGTAAATATAACAAAAAGCAATAACAACTACTGAATGCTCCCGCTGAATATTAAGTTGGATCATAAGGCATGCTTTCAAGTCAAAAGTTGGCTTGTCACATTATTATATATATAAACAGCGTTCCAAATTAATTTTTCGACGACGGAAAGGAGGAAATGTGTAATAAAAGACCAAAACCTAAAAAAAACCTTACATCATGGTATGCATTTTTCCGAATGCACTCGTAGGTTCAACTTGAGGCAATCAGCCGCATTTACAAATAAACTCGCAAAGTCATTTTTCCCTTTTTCCTAGACTTCACACGTGTTTTGTGGCGATAAACAATGAGATAAAATCAAAGAGGCTCTAGCTGATATCAGTAAGCATTGTTTATTGGCCTTTGATAACAATCTTCATTGGCTGGGACCCACAAAGCCCTTGTGATTTAAAGAGGGTGTGTCATTCTTTTAAAAATACTTCCTTTCAGTGATAAAAGAGTATTTTTATTAGATGCAACTTTGAAAGAGTCAACTAATTATTAAAACCGTATTGATGATTTATATAATGGTCCTGGTGTAATTGTTCTCTGGCCCCTTTGAAAAATGTGAGTTTGACGTTTGTGTTTGAATTGCAGAAAAAGAGGACGTCACCTCTCTTTTATCACATCAAATCAATTATCGCATAAACAGTGTTATGAATTAATAAACATCTCTCTTAATCAACGGGAAAATACTGGTTACTTATCACACACAAGGACCAATTGTGATAGCATAATGGTATAAGTTATGATAAATGCTACACTAAATTATATTATTTGTGCACAATGAATATAAATGAATATAAACAAGAACGAAAAATATAGCTTGCGTTTAAAAAATATTAATCATAATAAACACTTCTAACATTTCAAAACCAGAGGTGTTGATCAATTTCACATGAAACCTAATACGACGTCATTGACGTAAGATGCAAACGTTAACGTCAAAAATGAAACAATTTATCTTGTACTTACATACAAAAAATATGTAAATTGTATATAACAAAGTCATAAATCTATCTTACCGAACTGACCTGAATCCAAAGAAAGAACTGATATACAACCTGATTATTCCGAGTATTTTGGCGAGTTTGATTATCGTTCTTGGCAGTGTTTATGGAGTGACTGGTATTGACATATAGATCCTCTACGTCAAGAAGTAATATAGTGCGTCCAATACTGGCCTATTGTTATGTAGAGCGAACACAATGTAGCTTTCATCAAAAACAGTAGTACAACCAAACGTGAAGAAACGTGTTCGGATTTCATGAAATTTCGCCGCAAATATTTTTATTTAGTTTGGCGTTACAAAAATGTACAGGGTTTTACTTCCCTACAGAAAGAGTATTGTTCGCGCGGTCACTGGATCAATTTCTACGCCTGGAACATATTATTATGGTAATTTGTCAAAAACATCCTTTTTCCTTGTCAACTTCTTTCAGAAGCCTTCACCTCGGAAGATAATATTTGGACAGGAAATTAATTGTTAATCGCAATTCATTTTCATTTGTTCTTATTCAAGTTGTGATGGCTTTTCAAATTGAAACACATCCCGTTTTTGTCTTTTTGTCCAATCGTTTGTCCCATGATAGCACTTCTTGAACTTTTCTCTGTGAACATTGTTATATCCGTTGAGTTCAGATATATACACGGTGTCGAGATGAAGGTCGTTCTGTTAGTTCATCACAAAATATGTGAAGAATACAATGTATGGATTTATCCATAAACATACAAGGGTATATTCTCGTGTGGTTTTTTTCTCTCTCTCTCTGCGTGTATATCACATACACATACACACGCACATACATACACACACACGCACATGCATACACACACTCACATACATACACACGCACATATATACATACATACACACACACGCACATACATACACACTCACATACATGCATACACACATACATACATACATACATACATTCACACACATATACATACATACATACATACACATACATACATACAGACAGACAGACAGACAGACAGACAGACAGACAGACAGACATACATACATACATACATACATACATACATACATACATACATACAGACATACAGACATACCAGATGACGTTTCCTTTACAAAATTTATTTCATGATTACCCGACTTAACAACCTTCATCTCGATACCACTTCAAAACATCAACATCACGACAAAATCAAGAACTTTGCTATTTTCGCTCATACCATCTTCACATGCATAAATCTCCTACCTATCTCTGTTTATGTTTGCTGTTTATCATTGCCTAAATGAAAGACACAGTGTGTTGTAAGCTTCACCCTTACGCCAGCGTGTGTGATATGAAACAAACATGATATGTACAAGCCGACAGCAAGATGAGGCCAGTTGTTCCCCGCTTCTGTCAGTGTTGTTCGTTACATCTAGTTTTAATTACTCAATTAGGCACGGCGGTTCCATGGTTGGGGTTCGTTGTCAGATTTAAGTGGCGTGTTTTGGGTAAATAAATGTATGTATGTTTCCCCTCAGAGTCAGCGATGATGTAATCGGGGAAGTACATATTCCTCGCAACAGTTGCAGTTGTTTGTTAACAAACTTCAAACGGCTGAAACGACTTCGGGGTGGTCTGACGAAACGTACTAATTCGAAAATCAGTTGAACCAGTTTTACTCCGATCCTCTAATTATCACGAATTTAAAAGATTGTCCATCAAGTGAAGTTTCACGTGTCTGATACAGACGATTCTGTGAAAGAACACGCGTCAATCTAACTGTTCTTAGTCAGTTTTAGAGATTAACATTGAAGAATGATGATAACTGTATTGACATACAACTTCTTTATTCTGTGAAAGGCACAGAATAAAGAAGTTGTATATAAAAAAGCCTTTCCAGAATAAAGAAGTTGTATATCCATACAATTATCACCATTCTTCATCACCTCAGCTTCTAAAATGCCCATCAAAGAAATGTCTTAACATTGACCAAAACATAAGTATGTATTTGTATTAATTTTATAATCTTAATATTTGAAGTGAGGCTTTCAATAAGTGTTCCTAAAATAGGTAATTTATGTTCTGACGATGCTGCTGTATCTTATTCGGAAGGAAAATAATCCATATTTATCTGGTATTTCTGGATGTCTGTAACATGAACCAAACAGACACACAGCGTCCATTCTTACGTGTTAACTATAGTGGTAAACCGAACGGAGTTGAACTATGATCATTTATATCTCCTGAGGAGTGAAGGAGTGTAGATGTGTTAATATGCAGTTAATACCGTACACCTTCCTACATTTTAAACTGTATTCTTGATAAATATATTATATGATATAATACTTAAAATTTGTAATGAAATGTAATTGTACTTGCTAATGCATTCATTAAAATGTCCCCAAATCACGTGTAAGATGAAAACTACTCATATTATTAATCATATTGATAATCACTTCACATTATAACGAGAGCACAAGAGGACCCAGAACGTAGATTTATCCAAATTGATTTGTTCTATGTTTACAAACAGAACCTGATGAAATATCTTAAATATTAATGAAAACGTATAAAATTATTTAATGTAGGTTGTGATGTGGATTATTACAGAAAACAAACAGTGGATGACACCGGGCTTAATGTTAATGTGCTTTAACTGATTATGTTGGTATGTAGAAAATGTCATCAAATTGTTACATTAATGCATAATGTAGTATGTTCCTAAGTGGAACAACAAATAATGACATTTTCAACCAAACAAACATGTTTTTGCCCTCTTAAACGTTTTTATAAAATTGTTTTTTGAAAGCCGCACTCAACAATATTCCAGCTATATGACGGCGATCTGGTACAATAGACCGGATCAGACAGTGGTCGATATTGTGAGCAACGAGCAACGCCGTCGTGGTGCGAGTGAGTGAGTGAGTTTGGTTTTACGCCGCTTTTACCAATATTCCTGGATTATCACGGCGGGAGAAACCAGAAGTGGGCTTCACACATTGTATCCATGAGGGGAATCGAACCCATGTCTCCAGCGTGACAAGCGAACGCCTTGACCACTTGCCTACCCCACCGCCCTCTCGTGGTTCGAAGACAGCTATTAACTAAGTCACAGAACATGACGTCCAATCCATTTGGTCGCCTGTCATCACCAGCAGTATGCTTGGGACCTACCAGGAACTCAAACAGGATTCTGGGAGGATATCAGAGTCTCTAAATTATATATACATACCAGGTAAGCTTGTATGTGTACTGAACTCCGTGCCAAGTCTTGGATCCGGGTATCTCGGCCGGCTGGGATCGGACGCCTTGCTAATATCACATTGTCCTGACATGGAACCAAACTGACTAGTCCTCATTGAGGGATTCATTAGTAATGACCCATAGTTGGGCGAGAATCTGCTTGACCCTGCCATTGATGGGTATGACAAGTCATAATGCATTGTCCGGTGGGGGTAACTGTGTGTCTGCGATGATAAGGAGTAGTGCCAAGGGTCTTGATGGAGACCTGAGATCCCGTGTAAGGATGTGGAGAAGTAAGGGTTGGCTGAGAACTGGAAGTCGTGGTGGCTCAAGGACGGTGAAGGCTGATAGGCGCTGTTCCAGAAAGATGGAGGGAAGTTCCTCTGGGACATGGGAGGACAATCTGGAACAAGGTTACATGACGTGCTTGAAGAACATGGTCAAGTTTAATCAGAGTATGTCTTATAAAACGTCAACGAAAGAGATTCATCAGCCTCGACTGTCTTCCGAAACAGATTCCATTTGGCGTCAAGAGGCAAAATAATGGTGAAAATGTCATTGTATGCAAAATGGAATTAGATCAAAGATTAGCAGTAGGACTGGCGTATCTCCCATTCCTTAACACTGACATAAGATAATCGTAGAGCTAAGATAACTTTATTGAACTGGGTCTAGATTTTCGAAGTTCTCATAGCGCTAAAAAAGTCGTAAGTGCCATACATTAACAATAACTTACGACTATCTTAGCGCTAAGAGAGCTTCGAAAATCTGGGCCCTGAGCCGTGGTTTGGGTCCAGATCTCAGCATCGTGACTGTCGTGACTGTCGTAAGTGTACGGAGTTACGAACGTTAGTGAATATTGTGTACGCCACACTCACTATTAGTTTAAGTAAACGACGTCACATGGGCCAAGCAAACTAGTGGTTGATAGCAAGAGCGTCAAACCATCGGTCCACATTAATAGTTGTCATAGTGCGCCACGTCAACGGAGCCCGTGGTGTAATTATAACAACACGATATCTCAACAAATATTACTGGACGATATTAACATTATGAAATGAGTTCAAGATGCATAAATTCTGATTTCACAATGTGCAAGATTGTCATCTAACTTTAATGGCTATTTCAGTGATATCACACAAGGTTAGTTTTATTTAAGCAGAAAGCCTGACATGGACATCAAGAGCACGGATGTGGACTGACAAAACCAAGATGAACCTGGGATTCGAGCACATTATCACACTTTTCTGGTAGGCGCGGGTATTCAAATGTACACGGCTCATTCCGACTCCACTGTTATCTTCTCGAGTATGCGCCATGATGTTGTTTCTGCCTTATATGATGTAAGGTGTGTTATGAACCATTCACAACAAACAAATTGCAACAAACTGGCAATACAGTGAAAGGCACAGGAACTTGTTTTTCATATTGTTTGTTTTTGTTTTTTGTGTCAGTTTTTGTATTTATTCATTATGGGTGGGTGGTTTGTTTGTTTATTTTGTATTTTTTGTTGGTTTAATTTTAGATATTCGTACAGTTTGAAAAAATATAACAGTGAAATACATTAAACTTGGTGTTACTCCCAACTATCTTTATGGCAGAAGCAGTTGTTAGGCAACAAACACTCACTTTATATGCAAATTGTTTGAGTGTTACGGGTAAGGCTGGACACACTTGCCTTTATCACAGACACCTGGTGTTGTCAAACAATATCAGTGACATTTCTAAAATTTTAACCACCACTTTACCTTTTACGCCCAATGGAAGTTTTTCGAAGAATAATCCATATGATTATTTTCTTGCGTTGACTTTTGATATTCCTTGATGTTTTACTTACACTTTGAAAGAAAATAAAAGTGTGAAATGTTACATTCTGGTATTTCTTGTCAAATGGTTTTGTGTATTTAAATAATTTCACAAAGTTTAAAAGCCGTATTATCTATAGCATTATTATTATTACGGGTTATGAAAAAAATGAATATGATGACAATTCCTTTTATCTTTGAAAACACGTATAGATTTCCTACAATGCATATTACAATTGACTTAGTATTTGGGATACACAACAATGGGCCGTACAACACACCAAGACGTTACGGCACTTCCTAACACCGCTAATCAAATATTCTAATTTAGGATGAAAGTGTTTAATCAGAACCAGCCCAGCCTATACCATAATGCCACACATGCTCGCTAAACTTTATAATATGCGACATCAAAAGGATTAACTCCCGGGCCATGGATTCCAGGCCGATGACAAAGCCCCGGACAAACACGCAGTGATAACAGTGCCACTTGAAGAGTGTATTAGTTTAGCTGGCTAGTCAGGGTGCAGTGGTGTTACTTTAATGATTATGTAATCTCGGCGCTAGCATGGTAATTGTCGTGACAAACGCTGCACGTTGAATCAATGTCACAATCACAGGTGATGGATAACGTTCTTCATCACAAAGCTTAACACACATTAAAGGTAAAGTGGTGCTATCTTATAAGTACATGTATTTGAGTTCGTAACTGTCTCACAGTCCTTGAACCACATTATTCTCCCTTCTCCTTAGCCCTTTCTGTAATGTTAAAGCCCTAAATGAAGCAAGTCTAGATTTCCGAAACTCATCACACGGGGACTCCTTTTCAATTTAGATTGATATTTGTTTCTATCAAATTATGCATAAGAGACTAAGCGTTAGTCTAGTGGGTTCGTAGTCCTGGGCCGTAACTGGAATAGGTGTAGATATTATGAAACAAAATCCAATCGAGAATAAAAAACTAGACTTCTTCGGCATCAGGAATTTCGTTTTTAGAGGAGATAATTATATTATACAATAAAAGGCATTTCAGACTATTTTTTTAGTGATTGGGGTGAGCTGTCGTTCCAACAAGACATGCTTCTACTTTCGCGAAACCCCGATTTCATCACTAATGTTCAGTTAGCCGTTCATTCTGTTTTCTGCGCTATTTTGCTTCTTAAATACGTGTTCTGTCCAATAATCCAGACTGGTTATTCTCAGGCGTCAACGTTGTACATTCACCGTGTATGTGTTTCATTTTCTCAAACTGCAATCACCCAAAAGAAATATATTAAACACACATGCTTATTTTGCACAAATACAAACCTCAGAGGACTGTTGGAAATTAAGTTGATCTCGTCAAAAATACATATGTATCAAATATCAAAAAGTGTCATTTATCTCAAAGTCTTCTGTCAAAAATATACACTATATAAAGTTCACATCCTGTCAATACGTACATTTAATTCCATGAGAGAGCTCTTCTGCAACGGCGATCACGACCCCGGATAACAATGCAAAGATTATATTTAGAAGCGCAGTCACTACCAGATACACGTTGCCAAAAAGGAAGAAAACCAAACATAACACTGACTTAATGTTGTACAACAACGGCAAGTGTGAAGGGTTAACGACGCAATATCACGACTAGACCCTCACATGTGTAACATTCCCTGTGAGGAATCGAAATCGGACTTGGACGTCGCGAGATTTCGAGAGCATCAGCTGTTGAGCCACGTACTGTCTGTATTATGGTAACACGTGGAGCTGTATATAGCTGTCAATGTTGAGTAGCCATTGCACAGAGCTCAAAGAAGGCACTATGGGATAACAACCATTCTAACAGCGATGTATGTCTATAGCAATGCCTAGATGGCATGTTACAATATTCATAATTAACACAGACGCTTCACTATCATTAGCATTGAGAGACGTAATATGCATTTTTCCCCATTCTCTTTTTAAGCCATCCTGTCAACATTCACTCACAATAAGTGCATTATATTTCAACCATTATTAGATATACCTCTTTGAAATCCCAACACCTTCTGATGTATATACCACCAGCGTAGTCCGCATGATAGAGAGTTTGCCTGGAGATCGGAAGGTCGATGGTTCGATCCACACCCAAAACAAAATTCTTTTAAAGATGCTGCTTGTTGTAATCCTTCCTGGCGCTTAACGTTACTGGACTACGTCAAAGACAGGTCGGCTCGGAGTTAGTATAGTGTTTGCGAATATGGCATAAATGTTAGACTGCGACCTGGTACCTCAGTGGTCTAACACTATAATAGTCATTAGTCAAGATTGGTATAAACTGAGGCACAAGTGCATGCACGGCGCTATTGCAATGAAAATATCTAATCGCGACGTTGGATGGGCGTTTACATTGTTACGCATTGATTATTTCCCTTTTCTGGTATCGATACAAATTATGAATGACGTGTAGTATTAAGGGTCAATGATAAAATACTTACCATTTTCAAAATATTTACCAGATTACCTTTGTCAACTTTAAATGTGACAACATAAACTACATGACCAAGAGTGGATTACTGGGTGAGTGAATATGACTTGACGCCGCATCAACAAATGACCAGATCACTTTATGTTGTTGTGGAGAAATGCCTGTTACCCAATATATGAAGTAAACTAATTCAAGCTTCGTCTCCTGAATGTTGCCCTGTGTTCGTTATATAACACTGCATCACCCTGCGTCTAAAGTATCACAAAAGTAGCAATATGTTCTGTTAAAGTAATGAAGTACATCATACTGCCTGCAAATACTCCAAAAATCCTAAACAGCACGTGCTCTGCCTAAAAGTATTTGTAAACCGATCCTGGAAATGTCTCCCAGTTATTTCGCCAGCCAGTTTCTCCGCGCATTGCACTGTGGGATGCGTACACATAATGTTGCTTTCGCCTTAATGAAAATATTTTGTTATTTTAGAAAATTGGGTTTGAAAATGCAGAAGCATACTGAATGTGTCTGTCTCCATGTGTGTCAAAAATATTTTGATTCAATTAAGTTTGTTTTCGATGTGAGGCCAGAAATTGATATTTGGAATTCTTCTTGGCTTGTCACCTGGATAGTGTTCAAACTCAGCTTCCAAGGGAAAACTTTTAAAATAAACAAAAAATTTACAAAAATAACCGTAAACTTACACCCAAAAACAGTACGCATGTAAGCCAACTTTAAAGATCTAACGTGAAAGCTTTTTTCTCCAAAGCTTATCCCTGTTTTATCGTTAGCAGTATGATTGTGGTTGATGCTGTTCATAGCGGGGACTTTCAGAAAACACGTGGAACAAACTAATTAAGTTGTAAAGATAAACCGTGCATTATCTATGCAGTGACCATTTCTACAAGACACGGTAACTTGGTGTAGCAGTGAAAAGATTGTGTCACTCCGAATCAAGTGCCGTTGACAGGCTGACACGATGAAGGGATGGTATCGGGTGCGAAAATAGAAAATGCCATACCTATCAATATATAACTTAGTTCGTGGAATTGTTACAGGGTATGTACTTATGTAAATACAAAATTAAATAAATGTTGACAAATTTTGTGTATTTAGTAAAACAGCAATTATATTAAAAAGCCACAATTACATAAC